ACGTAACCATGAAGCAGACCTACAGACCCCTACCCTTGGGAGAAGCCCGCTAAACAAGTGAGCAAATAAATACACCCATGGCTTAGCTCAGGCAGAGACCAGCGGTGCAGCTGAGAAGACAGGAGCCCACCACGCAGGTGTCCGGGTGTGGGAAGCACGTGCGAGGGGCCTAACCCAGGGCTGAGGGACACCCTGATGCAAAGCCTCGATCGCCCAGGGCCCAGGTTTCAGGGGGAGCTCACAAACATTCTTGTGGACACAGCAGAGAAACAAAGGAGGCCGTGAGCTGCCAGGCTTGCCTGAATCTGAGGACCCCAGTCCAGAGCTGGGCCGGTGGGGACGGCGCCACAGACGGTTGGAAGATGCCACCCACCCACCTCGCACCAGGGGCTCCAGGTCAGGCCGGGGGACCTGCTGTTCATTTGCAATTCCCCCTCTGTCCATGTGGGGGCAGACCTGGCCCAGGAGGAGGCGGCTGGGGGACCGGAAGGAGGTAGCCTCACACCTGGCGGCGGGTGGCAGGCAGGTGAGCCAGGTGAAGTGGCTTTCCCAGTTTGCAGACAATAGAAAGAAAAGGAGCCCCTCCCAGGCCAGCCCAAGGCTCTCCCACAAGCATGTGACAGCCCCCTTGCACCCAGCCCCCTTCCCATGTAAGGTAAGATTGGGGTTAAGTGGGCCCAGTGGCTCTGGACCCCCGCAGCCGGATCTCTGGCCCTGGGTGGACAGTGGGCAACAAGCCTGGGGAGGCCCCGCCCCCACGTGGTGATCCTGGCTCCTGGGGGTGTCCCGAGTCACCGGGTCACCCTGCCCAACCGTCGGCTTTCCCCCTGGCTCCGCAATGTCTCCCCAGGTCCCACTGACGGAGCAAAGCGCAGGCCACTTGGGTTTGAACTGACTTTATTATTCTGTAAATGTGAATTTTACAAAGCGCTTTACAATTAACGATCACATCCTTCTGTTTGCAAGGACTTCCACCTCCTGCACCTGGCTCGGCACGCCGCGGAAGCCCTGGGTTTCCTGGCCGCTGGGGGGCGTCTCTGTAGGTTGAGTGACGGGTGCGGCGTCAGCCGAGACTCAAACGCAACAAGAGCAGGAGGAGAAGCGGACGCACCTGCTGGGGCTGGAACGAGCCCACTCGCTCGCTCAGGGGGCTGGGGGGTGGGTCCTAGGAAAACAAACCTGCTCCACGGCACAAGGAACAGTGGTTTCATTTATTTATTGTTTAACAGTCGTGAGTTACAGTAGGATTTCACCCCTCACCAGACTGGACATCAACCGTCTCTTTGTAAAAAGGCTCTCTTTCCCAAACATTCCGTCCAAAGGATGAATGGTCTGTTTGCACCCAGTGCCATCCAAATGTTCAAGTCAAAAATATTTATACATTTTATACTTAGTTCTTTTTTTTTGTCTGCTAAAAATAGTATTGCAAGTTTTGGCTTCTTTTGACATAAAAATTACAATCATGTGCAAAACGCTAACAATGAAGGGGTTGACCAGAATTCAAGCAGGTTGTCCAATCTGAATGCTTTAGATTCTGCATAATTTTCCTTTTCGTTTTTTTTTTTTCCAAAGAAACGAAACAAAACAAACAAACAAAACCCAAAACCTTTGCCACATTACAAACATCTTGTACCAAGCCCTAACGATCTCCGGCCGGTGGCGGGCGACACGCTCAGAGCTGCCTGACATAATGACAAATTTATGCATCAGCAACGTTCTGAAACAGTAGTTAAAGCTCAAGACAGCTCTGAACTCTCGATTCTGTGTTTAGGATTTACTGCCGGCAGAGGCAGAGGTTTTCCTCGCAGTTTTCGGTTGGTTAATGGGCCATCAGCCTCCTTCCACCGGCATCAAGATACTTCCATAAATATAACCCATCTGAGGGGAATCTAAGCAGTAAGTGGCTGGGGGTGGCACTGGGCTGGCACTAGAACGTTCCGCCGTTAAGGGGGAACAGGTCAGGGCCGGGCACCCCAGAGTCCCCGCCCCCGCTCCCGCCACTCCCCTCCCCCTCTGCGTCCCTCCCAGCTCCAAACACAACTGCCCCAGAACGAGCTTCCCCCGAGGAGACAGCAGCCGGGCTGCCCCCGGGACGGTCTCTCCCCCCGGCCGCTCATCCACGGCCACGGCCACGTTCAGGGGGCAAGGCAAGACTATCGAATCCAACGCAAAGTTAAGCAACCACAGAGAACTCTGGGTGAGAGCAGACACAGTGCAGAACACAAGACAGAATTCAAGTACCGAGGTGCACCGGCCGGGCGGCCCCGCCAGCTCACAGTATCCGTCATCCCCCCGGTCCCTGCTTCTGGACCTTTTGCACTCCGTCCCAGCTGCCTCCTTCAGCAGAGCCCATCCGCCGGGGAGGGCGGGTGAGGATGGGGGCCCGGCCGGCTGCCCGCCACGTCCACTCCGACGGGGTCCAGTCCCTTCTCTCCTCCTCAAAACGGCGCGGGTCTAACTTAGCTCTATAATAGACTACATAGTGTTTGCGTATTGCTAATAGTCAAGCTCGGGAATAAAGGTGCAGACATGTCATAAATACTGAGTGGCTTGTCTCTCGGTCTACAGGGTCTGGGTGAGTCAGGATCACGCTCACAGGACAGGAATTAGTCGTCTTGTAAACAGAGGAGGGGGAGGGTCCGGTTTTCTTAATTGGTTTTCCTTGGGAAAAATGATCAGAAGATGCTAAGGCACTCTGGAAGGCCCCTCCGAGCCCAGGCCCGCCGCTGCCCGCCCCGCGGAACATTCAGGACGCGGAGGGAGCGCCCCGGCAGATACAATCATCAGCCATGCCCGTCTGCAAACGCTCCGGACCCACGTCCACCGCGGGACACATTAGTGCAAAACGCTCGGCCTGGCCCGCCCGGGGCACAGGGAGAGCTCAGAACCCATTCACATTGAAGTATTCAAGTTTCACGTACAGCTCTTGCCTTCCTTACCCAGAACAACAAAACAGACGGCGGTTATAAACGATTAAGGGACAGAGGTCACGGGACATTGTGCTGGCCTGAGCAGCGGTCAGGCCTCCTCTGTGTGGGCGCTGCCGCCGCCGGGCCAAGGGCACCCCTTCGTGTCCTGGCCTCAGGTCGGGGGCCGCTCCCACTCTGGAGTGGAGGAGAGAGAGGGGGAGAGGGAGAGCGAGCGCGCAAGCCCTCTGCTGACGGCCAGGACAGGCCAGCCGTCTCCCCGGGGTCCTCAGGGATGGTCAAATTAAAGTGCACGTTGGGGTCAGGAAGGGAAGCTGCAGAGGGGGTGGGGGTCAACCCTCCCCATCCTCACCTCCGCCCCCCAGGGGCCGCCTGAGGATGCTGGGGGTTGGCCTCTCAGTTCCAAGAGGGTTAGGTCCTGAGTGGCCTGGGGCCCCAGGCTCATGCAGCTCTAAGCCCACCTGGGCCCAGGTCAGGGGAGAAAGAGGCGGGGAGAGAGAGAGGCTCACCTCTAGGCCAGGTGGTTGGTTCGGAGCCCTAGCAGGAGTGCAGTCTCTTCAGGCCCAGACCCCCCTGCCCTCGGGCACAGGGGCTGAAATGAGCTCCCCACGGGCCTGCCCAAGGTCTCCCCACGCCTTCCTGGGAGCCATCAGATCTTTCTGGAGGGCAGGCACATGTTTGGCCCGGCCGGAGGAGGCCTGGAGGCTCCTCGCCCAGCCCGGGTCTCCCCCAAAGCCTCTCCACACAGGGCAGCAGTCAGGAGGAACCTGAGTGGAAAGATGCCTAAGCCCCCCAAGGTTGCCTGCAGCCGGGGGAGGCTCAGCTTTGTGGGTCACAGGGAGGCTGAGCCACACCTGCTCGGCCCTGTGCACACAGGGGGTGTGGTGGGCTTGCTCCGCACCTGGTCAGGGGAGGCAGAGTGCTGAGGAGGGGGCCCAACAGACCCCCTCACGTCCGGGAATGGAGGGGTGTCTGGTCTCCCCGGGACCAGACTGCCTGGGGCTCAGGAAGCCCCCGGACCAGTGGCCACGTGCGCACAACCCATGCCCTCGCTCGCCAAAAAACAGCAACTGAACTTCAACGTGGGCCTTCCAGCCTCAAACAAGCCAACAATTTCTAGGGCCCCTCCTTACTGCACCCTGCCACACGCATTCCAGAACCTCCACCCTGCTGCTCCCGGGCTCCTCCTGCAAACTGCCCAGCAGCCTGGCCCGTGCCCACCACCCGCCCACCCGGCCCCAAGGTTTTCAGCACAGTACGGGGGACCCGCCCCAGCCAGCCTGGCCAAGCGGGGCCCCCGGCCCCTCCTCCGCCACACACCCTGGCTGTGTCTCCCTCGGACCCCCCCACCCCCGCTCCCGACAGGAGGCGCGTGGGACCTGGGCCAGGGCTGGGCGGGACGCGGTACACAGATGACCCAGCCCAAAGCATAGTGGGTTGAGGGCAGGGACACCGAATCCTCCCTAATTTTTTGCTCTTTTGGGTCTGAAAGTTTTCAAACCATACATGAAATAGATCTGAATTAAGACAAAAACAAACAAACAAACGTAATCCCAACATGGCTGAGGGCGGTGGGCTGCACCACGGGACGGCGGGTGGCCAGGTAGAGCCGGCGGGCCCCGGGGGCCGTGGAGCTGAGGGGGCCGGGAGGGCCCACGGGCGCGGGGGGGGGGGGACGGAGGGGCACCTCCTCTCCCTCCCCTCTGCTGTGCCCACACCGCTCCCCCACACACGCGCACACACACGCGCACACTCACACACGCGTTCCCGCACCCCGTGCACGCGGGGGACCCGGCAGGCCGGAGCCCCGAGTCTCAGGAAGAAGGGAAAACCAGAGGAGTTTGGCCCCTGGCCCCAAAGGGGCGGGCGGGGTGCCCCCGACGAGCAGCGAGTGTTGGGAGACGCACGCCCCACGCCGCAGGGCCCGGGCACCGGGGCCGCGGGCTCTCGCCCCTCCAGAGCGGGGTCGGGGCCCACAGCCCGGAGACGAACCTCGCAGATCCAAAGGAGCCCTGGGACCTGCCTCGCAACTAGGTCCCCAGCGGACTAATCCTTTACGGTATAACGAATGCATTTGTTTCCTTCATGAACTTTAAATACAAGCAGGATAAAAATCACATTTTTGTCAGGCAACAGTAGCAGTCCCGTAGGTAAGTGGCTTGATCACATTTGTTTGTATTAGTAACGCATGCAAGCAGCTTTAGTACCGGTCCCGCGAGGCTCCCGGCGGCTCCTCTACAAGGTCCCCGCGTAGGACGCCTCCTGTCTCCGGGGCGCCGCGGGCGTCTGCGGCCGGCTGGAGCTGGCGCTGCCCTGCTCGAAGGGCGCCGGGGGGCTCTGCGCGGCCGCGGGCGGCGGCGGCTCGGGCGCGGCCACCTCCTGGATGACCGAGCCGGCCCCGTCTGCCTCCTCGCCCGCGTCGAAGCTGGGGTTGGCGGCGGCGCTCAGGTCGACGTTCACGGCGTCAGTCCTCAGGGCCACGATGGTGGCGGCGTCGCCCCGCCGCTCGGCATAGATGCGCTGCTCGAACACCTGCGCCGCGGCGGGCGGGAAGTCGGGGTCGAGGGGCACGCCGGCGGCCGAGGAGCCCATGACCGTGCGGTACATCTCCACGCCCTCGGGCAGCATGGACTTGATCTTGGGCAGCCAGCGCTTGCGGACGCGGCGCGCGTTGGTGCACATGTCCGCTGCGATGACGTTCATCTCGCTCTCCTTGAAGCTGGGGGCAAAGTTCTGACAGTACACTGCAAGCAGAGGGCGCGGGGGGGCGGGCGTCAGCGACCCGGGGGCCCGGGCCGGGGCCTCCGCACTGCCCTCCACCCTGCTGCCCACCGGCACCGCGGGCCGCGTGGCCAGCCAGGTCCTTGCTGGCCTCAGCTTGCAGACCAGTGGTCGTCCCGGGGGCCCTGCCCTGTTCCCTCGGGACAGCCTCTGGCCGGAATGTCCAGGGGAGCAGGGACAGGCAGCGTGGGCACAGGGCTGTGGGCCTCCCCGCGCACTGGCTGGCTGTGTGGCCTTGGGCAGGTCCCTGGCATCTCTGGGCCTCACTTTCTCTGTCCCACCCACCTTGGGTCCCAGGGCCTGCGGAGACAAGCCTGCTCGAGGACGCTGCTCTGACCAGAAGGGCCGTCGGGGCAGGGCCCCGAAGTCAGGCAGCCCCGGGCACCTGCCCACCCTGAAGCTTGGGCCTCTCCGGGGCCCTCATCAGAGGCTCTTCACACAGGCTGGACGAGGAGCGCGGCGGGAGCCGGTCCACACCTGTCCTGGGCCCAGCGCCCAGCCAGGAGGAAGCGGCAGCGGGGCCTATCAGCACCCCAGCATTCCCCTCTTTCCCCTCCACCGGGAGCCACAGGACCCAGCTCTGCAAGCAGCCTGGGGGCCGGACACAGGTCCCCGGGGAGGGCCCCTCACACCAGCATCGCTTACACCCCCCGCCTCTTCCCAGAGCCCAGCCGGCACACCAGCTTTGGGACCATAACTACCGACCGCAAAGGCCCCTCTTTGCTCTAAGACAGAATTAGTCTCACGAGACACGCTTTCCAAGCAAGGAAGGAAGACGGTGTTTCGTGTGCCGACCGCCGTGGGAGGGCCCGCTGGTGGCCGGGGTGGTCTGCGTGGACGGCGGGCCCCTCCCCATCCCGGGGCGGGGGGAGCTGGGACCAGGGGCAGCCGTGGGCTGCGGAGACGGACCGGGCTCCGCCCCCACGCACCCGGGAGCGGGAGGCAGAAGTCGGCGAGCAGATGGCAAAGGCTCAAAATAGCCTCGAAATGTAAATAAGGGGTTTTGTTCAAAAAGGAAAATTAGATCTATTTCACATATTAAAATAGTTTCGCACGCAGCTGAATCCATCATGCTTGGAAACCTACCAAGAACGTTCACACCTCGAGACCTGGCTCCCGAGAGCTGCTCTTTCCTCCCTGCCTCCCCTGCCCTGTGGGGCCGGCGTGGCGCCACGGAGACCCGGGCAGCCCCTCCAGCCCACCCAGGGGGCCCCGGGGCACTCACGTTTCACAGCGTTCAGAACCCGGCTGTCCAGAGGCTTGCGGCTTGGGTCGCTGGTGGAGGAGCGAATACCTGTGCCGCAGCTGTTGGCCAGAGTGTTCCTGGCGGGGAAGGTGGGGGGCAGTGAGGCCACTGGCCAGAGGCGCCGCAGGAATGGGACCTGCCCAGCAGCCGCCCCTGGCACTGCTGTTCATTTCCAGGGGCCGGTACCACCCTCCAGACACGGGAGGGGAGCAAAGCCCCTTGGGCACGGGGCTCCTCGGCCCACGTGAATCAATGGGGCTCTTCGTTTCACAGGGGCGGGGGCAGGGGCGGGGGGAGGGGCGTGTCCAGGAGAGCCGGGCCGTCTGGGTGGGTGTTGCCCCCCCTCCACCCCCGCACAGCCTCACAGTCCTCGGGCTGACGCCGTGGCAGGACGTCAGGAAGGCGGGGGGCCACGAAGGCGAGGCCGCCGTGAGCTCGTTGCCAGAGGAGACCCTAGAAGCCTCCGCACCGGCCCAGGGACCCACCTGTCAAAGAACGTGGCGAGGAGCCGCCGCAGCAGGACCTTGTGCTTCACCCCTGCACAGAGGTGGCAGTTCATCAGCTGGCCGCGCGTGATGTACACCCCGGAGCCTGTGACCACCAGACAGGAGAGGCTGTGACCCACAACCCAGGGCCATGACCTTCCCAGGGGCCGCTGGGGCCAGAACACGTGCACCGCGGGCCGGGGGGTGCTGGGCAGCACGGGGAGCAGCGCAAGGCCGCCCTGACTGCTGAGTGCAGCACTCGCCCCCGGGGCCTGGGACCCCACAGACTGGGGACCATCGCTCCAGGCTTTCCTCGCTGTGCTGGGGCCCTGCCACCTGGACGAGGCGGCCTGGGTCTCACGCCTCAGAGCACTGTCTCCAAATCACCCTTCCAGCCTCAAGGGAATCGGTTTGGGAAACACTCATCTCTGCATCCCTTCCCCAAAACCAAAGCACCTCAGGCAGTGCCGGGGAGCTGGGATTAGGGAGGTCACCCGGCCCAGTGCGTGTGGGGGGAGGGTGCAGCCAGCCACAGGGCAGGGGTGTGGTCAGCGAGCCCACGCAATGCTGTTTACCCCGAAGAAGACTGGCAAGGCCCGGGTGCCCAGCAGGGCACGGGAGCACCAAGGCCGGAGCCCACTGAGAACGTGGAGCGGCCTCTGTCGGGCCAGACGGTGCTCATGGGAAAAGGAACGGACGCATGCGTGGGACAGTGCCCCCGACTCTGGACGAGAAGACACCAAAGGGCACGCACCTGCGGGGTCCTCGGGACTCCCACTACCCCCTTCAGGCCTTCCTCTAGGACCCCCATGTCACAGATCCCATACTGGATCTTGTTGGGAAAAAAGCCAAGGAGGGAGCAGGGTGGAAGGAAGGTACGCGGAGGTGCTCTAGCCTGAGGGGGCCTGGATCGGCGGCCTCGGGGCTCTGGACGGAGACCACCACCGGGGCGTCGGGTCAGTGTTGTCTGACTGGGCTTGGCCATAGCGTGCCAAGTGTCCCCGAGGGCCCCCGTCCGCCCATCTGCCGTCTGCAGAGGCTCCAAGCCAACAGCAGAGCAGGTCACCGTGACCCACACGGGCTGGACACCCCCTCGTTGTAGGGACTCTGGAACGGGGGCTGGGGCACCACGGGGCCTGGCCAGGGAAGGTGGTCAGCCCTCGCCCCTCCCAACCCCAAACCCTAGCGGACAGGTGTGACCCCTCCCAGGCCCGGCTGCTCTCCGGTTAGCTGCAGGGCCAAGCCACCCCTCTCTGGCCTGCTCTGCCGCTGCCCTCTGAGACCTCCCAGCAGAGGGGGCGGTCGGGCAGAACCCCACAGTGCTGCCCTGGGTGCGGCGACCAGGACTACCAAACGGGACCGGGGGGCCCCAGAGGCTCGGAGCGGGTGCGCGCCAGCACTGAGGAGGAGGGACGGTGCCCGTGGGTCCTGGCCAGCCCGTTTGGGCCCCCCCTGGAGGCCCCGGGAGGACACTCCTGGAAAACTGCCCCAGCGCGGGCGACAGCAGCCACGTCTTCCCCGTGAAGAGCCTTAAAGATCTGCCAGGAGCTGTGAGGCCAAGCGGAGCCCCACTGGGAAGAGGCGTCTTTCTAACAAAGGCACGCGGCCCTAACAGGTGCCGTTTGCCTTCACAGAACCCCGTTTCCGCCTCGGAGCTGCACTTGGAACCTCGGGTGGTTACCCGTCAACGCTGCCGGGGGGGGGGCCTCTGGGGGCTGGGGGAGGGGGACCAGCACGCTGGGCTCGATGTGGTTTTCTCTCCCACCTAATTAAAGCACAATCGTGATTGCAGCCCCTGCCAATCAGATGCGAGGCCAGCCCAGGGGATTCAATTAAAATGCTAAATTAATTCAATTGAATAACTCCTCTTAATGACACATTCTTCTAAAAGGAAACTAGAAGAAATTTAAGATGTTCTCCTTTTTTTTTTTTTGACTGATTGGTGATGTGTACATTGTTTGCCGCCCCGAAGGGAAACCCGAGGGCACGTGCACACAAGAGAGGGCGGGAGGGCCCTTCACCTGCGACCAGCTCCAGCTTCTCCCCGGGGTCCCCTTCCGAGTAGAGCTTGGGGTGGCAGCGGTACCCGATCTGGCTGATGAGGCTGGCGGGCAGCGCCACAAGGTCGCGGCGGATGAGGACACAGGAGCGGCTCTCCAGGGGCATGGGCTCCGGCTTCTCCTGCACTGTGGACACACACCCGACCTGGTTAGGGGCCTTCTCAGGCCGGGCCAGGGCAGGGCCGGGAATCGAGAACGCCCTCCCTGCCCACCCAGGCCCGGGTCAGACCCGCTCCATGCCCACTCTCCACGGTGGGCGGGACTGCTCCGTACCCACCCTCCGTTCGCCCTCCCTGCCCACCCAGGCCCGGGTCAGACCCGCTCCATGCCCACTCTCCACGGTGGGCGGGACTGCTCCGTACCCACCCTCCGTTCGCCCTCCCTGCCCACCCAGGCCCGGGTCAGACCCGCTCCATGCCCACTCTCCACGGTGGGCGGGACTGCTCCGTACCCACCCTCCGTTCGCCCTCCCTGCCCACCCAGGCCCGGGTCAGACCCGCTCCATGCCCACTCTCCACGGTGGGCGGGACTGCTCCGTACCCACCCTCCGTTCGCCCTCCCTGCCCACCCAGGCCCGGGTCAGACCCGCTCCATGCCCACTCTCCACGGTGGGCAAGACTGCTGTGTACCCACCCTCCGTTCGCCCTCCCTGCCCACCTGGTCCCTACCCCGGCAGGGAGGACCAGAGTGAGTAAGCGAATGGAGGAAGATAGGGGAGGGATGCCACCCAGACCTGGAGACCAGCTGTGAGGGCCCAGGAGGCTCCTGGGAGGAGGTGTGCACCGGACCGAGGCCTGCAGACGAGGCAGTGGCCTGTTCGAGGGGGCTGGGCCCGCAGTCTGACCAGGTGGAGCGGCCCCTCTCTGGACAGAGCGCAGGCTCAGAGCGGAGCAGGCCGTGTGTGCGTGTGCCCAGCCTGAGGGCTCACGGCAGCCCCCCTCCATGGCGCCTGGAGACTGCTGCATAAACACCTGCTGGCAGTAGAGCCTGGCCCCCGCCACACCTGCAGCTCTGGGGGGCGGGGCCCCCTGACGGTCCTGCGCCACACGGGAACATGAGGGCAGCAGGCTGTGGACGTGGAGGTGGCTGCCGCCCCCTCTCCCCTCCCCGCCCTGAGGACCCCACCCTCCGACCTGCCCTCTAGGCCTGGCCTGGCCACGGTAACCTGCCTGCCATCAGGCTCAGGCTGGGCCAGGGGTCCTGTCCCCTCCGCACTGTGACCCACTGCCCCCTCACGGGTCACAGGAAGATTCAGCTCCTGTGGACACTGAGGTGGGAGGGGCCAGGCTGGGCTGGGCCAAGGACCTGGGGAAGCCATATAGGGGCTGCCGCGAAGGGGCTTCGGAAAGGAGGATGGCAAGGAAGGGTCGTGGGCAGACCCTCCACACCCCCAGGCCTCCAGAACCTGGAGCAGCCTCAAGCTCCCGGAGGGGAGTGGTGGGGGCCGCCCAGCCCCTGCGGGGCCGGCATCCTGAACACCACGGGCAGGCCTCTCTGGAGAAGGCAGGCAGCTGGGCTCAGGGCTGAGGTGGGCCTGCCGCTCCAGGCAGCCCGCCCCAGACCAGGACACAGGTCAGAGGGCATTGGGCCGCTCTGGGGGTCGGGCAACACCTCCCACCAGGTGTGTGCGGGGCACGCAGGCGGGGGCGGATCAGCGGAGAGCAACAGAGAATCTTCCAAACCTGGAATACCCGGGGGCTCAGGGAGCACAGCAAAAACAACCCGGATGATATTTTAAAACATAATTACCCGCCCCCGCCCCCCCACGGCCGGCTGTGATTACACACGCAGACGCGTGGCATTTACATAAAGAGCGCTCACCAGCCGAAGTCACGCCATCCACAACGCGTCCTGCCGTGTTTCTCTCAACAGCAGAAGTTGTTTGCGGTCCGTGCGCCTGCCCCCCAGCCCCCCAGCCCCCCAGCCCGGCTCCTGAGAGCCAGAGACCGGCAGATCCAGAACACCCAAAAGAGCCTCTTCTATTTCTGCTCTGCCGAGCGCCGGATACTGCGCCAGCTAAAAATACCCGAACCCGAGTGGTGGCTCATCTGGAAAGGTGCTCCGAATCCCTTCCCCGCCCCTTCCCCGGGCCCCAAATCTCCTGCTGCCCGCCGCTGCAGCCCACAGCTGAGCGCCAAGGGCTCCTCCTTCCAGGGAGCAGAGGGGACGGCTTACAACCAGGTTCTGGAGACCTGGGAGAGCATGCGGAGGGTATGGGGGCTGGGGGCACAACCCCCCGCCCTGTGCATCCCTTTGGCTTTGGGGCGGGCGTTCGGGCGCCGGGCTGCAGGCGTGCTGGGAGGCCCCTCGGTGGGCGGGCAGGGACACGGCAGCCGCCCCGCGGATCGCACTGAGGCACCACGGCTCCCTTCCCCATCAACGGCCCCGTTTTTAACCGGCTTCCAGGACTGTGGGCTCCAGATATTTTGGCACCGTGGAATTTGGAGAGGAGCACATGAAAGAGCAATTAGCTATTTGTACCAAGAGGTGAGTAATCAGGGCAGGAAAGGTGAGTCACGGTCGAAAGGGCCTCTGCGGAATGATCTGGAACAGTAGCTGATCTGGGCCAAAAGGGAAGCAGCGACCAAGGACAGGCAGTGACCCTCAGATCATGCACAAAGAGAGCTATAACCGGACGCGAGGATGGACCCTGCGGGGAACTCTGGGCACCAAGAAGGGACCCAAGTGCTCCCTGACTTGGTGACGCTACGGGAGTCCAGCCAAGGAAGGACGGGGCCTTCATGACATCATGAGGAGAGAGGTGAGCCCAGCACAGAGGACAGATCCCGTCAGATGCTGCTGGTCTGTCTGCAGGGACAGACAGCGGGAGCGGAGGTCCGTGTGTAACGGGACAGAGTTCGGGTCAGGAAGATGGAGAGTTCTGGAGGCAGATGAGGGCACGACAGGATAGCAGTGCGAGCATGCCTGACGCCCCTGGACGGCGCCCCCAAAACCAGCTATGATGGGAAATCCTAGTTGTGTATATTCTAGTGCAACAGAACCATTCTCTTGAAAGAGACGAATGGCATCTGTGGGAGACACTTGCCCTTACCCAACGCTACGTGGTCCTCATCTTACAGTCTACACGGTGACGTCCACCAGCTCAATCTCAATACAATGGAGGGCAGGGCGGGTGGGGCAGGTCTGGAGGGACCCTGGGAGGGCCACTGGCCTCCACTCCTGTAACTTTTTCAACCTCCTGTGGCTCACTGACTAAGGATCAAAGTGCTGGGCCCTCTCCCCGAGCAAAACATACCAAGCCCCCGGCCCACAGGATGCTGGCGTGTCACGGCGCCCCAGGAGCGGACTCTGTTCCTGTCCCCAGATGCACTCAGAGACGGCACAGGCAGCGTCCACCCTCGGTAGGGAGCCCCCACTAGTGCGAGTGGCCGCCAGCAGGTGACGGAGCTCCACTGAGGTCAGGCGGGGAGGTGGGGGGCAGAGAAGGGTACTCCCACCCTACAAGAGTATACACTGCTTGTCAAAATGGCAGATTAAAGAAAGGAGCCCCTTGTCCGTGATTATATAGGAAAATACAACTTACAGCTAAATGGAAAGAAAAACGCTAAATCACACCGTCCACTTCTGACTTACTGTAGAATGACCGTAACCAAGCCCGCGAGGTTCATGCGGGCAAGCAGAGGGACACCCTGTCCACAGCCTGGAGACAGACCCGCACAAACACACTCAGCTGCTTTGTGACAAAGGGTCACTCACCACAGCGGGGGAAGGGATAGCTGTTCCAACACGTGGTGCCCAGAAACGGGCTGTGCATGGGCAAACCTCAAAAGCAAAACCACAAAACCACCCTCGATCTAAACCTCACACCTTACCCAAAAATGAGTAGAAATGGATCACAGACCTAACGTAAGACACAAAAAGCATAAAACTTTTGGAAGAAAATCTCTGTGATCTTGGGTTCAGCTAAAAGCTTAGACACGACCCCAAAAGCATCACCCATGAAAGACTCGATTAACCGACTTCATGAAAACGAAAACCTCCGGTCTGTGAACGACGGACAGACAGGCCCGCCCCGGACAGGAGGGAGTGGTCTGCAGACCACACATCTGACCCAGGACTTGTCCTGCAAATCTAGCGTGAACTCTCAAAACTCAACAGCAAGAAAATGGACAACTCAGTTTTTAAAATGGGCAAAAGATCTGAACAGACACTTGGCCAAAGAATGTACAGATGGCAAATTAGCACATGAAAAGATGCTCCACATCATCAGCCATTAGAAAACAGCACATAAAACCACACAGAGACCCCCCCTCACACCTACGGAGCGGCTGAGCTCGCAGACCCCGGGCACGCTGGGCAGCGCAGGGTGCGAACAGCTGGGTGCGGGGCCCCGGCCGGCGGGCGCGCACGCTGGGACACGGCTGAGCGGCTTCCCAGGGAGCCGGCGGTCCCATCCGAGGTACTCACCCGGGAGCAAGGAGACCCGGAGACAGTCCGCACAGGCCCCGAGCAAGGGTGCTCACACCTGCTCCAGCCTGGAGACAGCCCAATGCCCCGCGGCGGCGGGCGGACACGCCGCTGAGCGCCCACAGCGTGGGCCATCCAGAAGGACTGCTGCAGCTGCCGCACCGCGGAGGTGAGCCTCAGACTCGCTGTGGGACGGAAGGGGCCAGTCTCACAGGGTTAGGCACTGGGTCACCCCTTCGCAGGACAGGGTCCCAAAGACAGACCTCTGGGGACGGACAACAGATCGTTGATTGCCAGGGGACGGCGCGGGGCTGGGTGACTATCGGGGGCAGCGTGGAGGGGTGACCGAGCTACTCTGGATGGCGAACACTCGCCACACCACCCCCCGCGCGTGGGCTGCCCGCCCGCCCTGCCCTGTCCCTTCCTGCTCAGCCCCAGGCGGCCTCCCCTCACAAAGGTCTCCCCCTGCTCTGCATCTGCCGGCTCAGCACCAACCAGACCAGCGGCTCTGAGAGGGCCACGCCCACAGCTGGCTCAGCATCCCGGGAACAGGGCAGGTAGCGGTTCCCAAGGGTGCACCTGGGCCCGGGGTGGGGGGGGATGTGGGGGTGGAGCATCAGGGGGCCAGGCGTCATCGCTGAGGCTGCTCTTCCGGGGGGAGAGGCACAGAAACTACAGTGTAGCCACGTCCCCCACGG